TCCTCCGAAGTCTCTGCCACGGTGTGGGCCCAGAAGAGGCCCAGGTTTCTTACACAGGCCCTGTGAGTTCTTCAGCCCAAACTACACTGTGTACCAGGAATCCACAAATTTTTTCTGGGAAGGGCCAGAGAGTAAGCATTTTGGGTTCTGCAGGCCACATGATCTGTCAGAGTTAGTCTTTTTTGCCCTTACACTGTATAAGCAGCCACAGAAAATACGTATCAAAAGAGAGTGGCTTTGTCCCAATAAAACTTTATTTACAAGAACAGATGGCAGGTCAAATTCAGCCTATGGGCCATGCTTGCAATCCCAGAATTTTATTAGCCATCTCTGTGGTAGGACTAGCTCAGTAATCCAATGCTCGCAAATAAAAGCACATGTCATGGGGCTTTGTCATATGTGCCACACACTGTTAACCAGTTTAGGATCTGTACATACATAGTACTTACAATGATTTTTTTATATTTTTAATGTACCCCTGCCACTTTTATGGTTTAAAAGGAAGAGAAAAACATTACAGTTCATAATACCAACAGTGTACTAATTCTAGATCAACTCCTTATTTATTCATGCATATTTATCCCCAGTGAACATCCATTATAACTACCATATGCTTATGTTCGTTGACAATGACAAAACATGACTTCTAAAACAATATCTATAGCCAGAAATTAGTGGTAGAGTTGCCAGGGTTAAGACCTGTAGGTGGCTCAAGGTCCGAAGAAGGCCCAGAGTTAAAGAAGAAGATGGAGACGGTGGCCTCGGGGGCAGGTTGTGGCGGGATGGCGCAGGCAGTAACCGTCAGGCCTGTGAAATCAGAACTACAAAGCTCATTTTGGCTAGGAGCGCCAAATGCCTCCTCCTGTCTCAGGGTGCTGCCCCTCTCCTGCTAGTCATCTGTTTAAAAACAAAGTAATCTTTCCGGCCAAAGACAGAAGAGCATAAGCCCCCGTGGTCCTTACATTACTAAGAAGCCCAGAGTTAATTGTGGATGTGAGACCCACACTGAGGGTCATGGTAAAAGTGAGGTGGCCACACCCTTAGCAGTGATCTGCAAACCAGTGCTGATGCGCAGGAATATAAACCAACCAGTATACCAGAGAAGAAAGTAAGTGTAGAACAAGCCGTCAACTGTGGCTGCCTGATGATCTGGCCAGCTGGCAGTTCTCATCCCTCTCCTGCAGAGGCCATTCCACCTCCCCAAGGGGGTTTCACCATTTTGTCACCTGTCACACTCCCCTTCACTGGTCCCTCCCAAATGCTCCTCAACTTACTTCTGCCCCATCATGATGCTCAGGCATCAATTCCTCTACAAAATGTCCTTCAAGCTGGGCTACAAGCTGCTTCTCTCTACTCCTACAGGCCACAGTGGGTGACAGATCTGCCTCCCCACCTCCCTACCACTGTCAATCTTACCTACGCCGGGACACATAAAAAGCAAGCGCCTGTCTTGTGCACAAAACCACAGACTATGATGTGCCTAAGGACCTAAAGGTCTGAGTGTGTATCAAATCAGTTCAGAGAGAGAGGGAGAGAGTGTGTGTGCATGTGTTTGTGTGTGTGTGTGCATGTGTTTGTGTGTGTGTGTGCATGTGTTTGTGTGTGTGTGCATGTGTGTGTAGGAGGACAGTGAGCACTGGCAGCTGAGAAGCGCCCTAAGACCAACACCAGGAACTGGATGTCAGGTGGTCAGTATCATGAAGTTACAAAGGTATGTCCTTAGGCTCAAAGTAGCAAGCCCTCGATGCAGCAGGCATCTGTCCGAACCTCTGGGAACACATCTCTCTCCAAGTGCATGATGGCGGCTCAGCACTAACAACGGGGCAGCTTGGTACATTATTGCAATTGTTTTAGTAGAAGTGACAGATACATTTTGAAATCCCAACCATGGCATGTCTTAGAGCTCAATAGAAAGCCTCTTCTGCGCATACATTTCTGATTACCATTTGTGTGATATCTGAGTTATAGGGGCAGCTTGGTACATTATTGCAATTGTTTTAGTAGAAGTGACAGATACATTTTGAAATCCCAACCATGGCATGTCTTAGAGCTCAATAGAAAGCCTCTTCTGCGCATACATTTCTGATTACCATTTGTGTGATATCTGAGTTATGCAATCTACAGACTTTCCGCTAATCCAGAATGGCCTTAATGGTATCTGTTTCTACAAAGCAACTGTTTCTCGCTAGGTAGCTTTGATGAAACTTTTATCATCCTACTAATGTAGCAAGAGAAAATGACCTTCGTGCTTCAATAAAAATGTTGTTATTTCGGATACAAAATACGTTTCTACTGTTAAACTGTAATAAGATTCTGGAAGGTTTACTAGAAGAGCAGTCTTCCATGATCAAACAGAGATAACTAAATTGCTCCCTTTTCCAAAAAGTGAGCTGGAGGTACTCCTCAAACACTCACAAGGAAGCCACTGCTCAGTTTCCCTCCCCTGCACGCTGTTCAAGTTGCGAACAGGAGAAGTGTCCCAATACACCACCAGCTCTAAACCTTTCAAATGCAATAAGTGAGGCTAACTTTAGATATGAACACTACCTGTGTACGGGATGATTTTTCTTGTACTCAAATAATACCACCAGGAAGGAAGGCACAATATGGGGAAATACAGGCATCAAGTGCAGAGCTAGCTGGCGTTCACGAAGAGCTTATATCGTGCCCGCCGCCATGGATCACTTCTTTTAATTCTAACCACACCAGGAAGTGGGCTACTCCCATTTTACAGGCAAGGAAGCCAATTCTGGGAAACCAAAGTCAGCAGCTACAAAAGTGGCAAAACTAGGACAGCAGCCCTGGTTTGGGGCTCTGGTCCCCGACCACACTGCTCCCTGGGCTTTCCCAAACACGGACCAGCAGCACTGCTGGGGAGATGGGCAGCATGCCCTGGTTCCCAGGTAACCAGCAAGTCGGATGGAGCGAGGGAACGCTGACAGGATACTGCTCCCACTGCCCACCCCTGGCAAAGTCTTTTTAAGCTGCTGGAAAATAAGGTCACAGGGCAACTGAGAAATGAGTAAGACAGGCTGAGTGGTATCATGAAAAGAGTCCTTGATTTTACAACCCCAGGGCTTGTGTCCTGGTCCATGCTAAACCCTAAGACTCGATCCTCTCCCATTATAAAACTGTCACGATAAAATACACCTCTTCCTTTTGTTGTCACTGAAATAATGAGAATGTAAGGGATTGAAAGACACTGTGCTTGGCAGGGAATAGATACAATATTTTGTTTTCTTTTTAATCTTCCGTTCCCCTTTCAAAATACAAGCAGACAGTGCCTACCTACAATGTAAATCCTCCCTGGAGACCTCCCCTGTCCCTCTCCCACAATACACCACCCGCAAAGAACTCATTATTAATGCTGCATACAATTGTCTAGATAAGGCAAAAATACTGTTATGTCATGCTTTAAATATATTAGGAATCACAAGGTAGTATTTAAGTACACTAAAGCAGTTTAGAAAAAAGAGATCACTAGAATAAGTAACAATATTTCAAAGCAATTAGTATTGAAATATGCCAGCACCATATCTTGATCCACAATTAGAGTAAACTTGACTCTAAGGTTTTTCTCCACCCCTCTCTCATACAACACAAACCAGTATATGAAACAATCAGACATTTTGTTGTTGTTCTCCAAGAAATACATTCTCAAGAGAGCTAATAAAGAAGACTACACCAGAGAGATTGCAGGACATGCAAATCTTTTAAATCTATCCTCCATGAATGGCCTCTGATGAAACTCTGGCTTGAAATCAGACTTGTATGATTTAAAAATAAAATGTTCTGAGTAAAGCTAAGAAGTTTTCATTTCCAGATTTTTTTAAAAAACTGATTTAACAGTAAAATGTCTGTAGAGAAAAGTTTACAGTTGTGAGATACTGCTTTGCCATTTAAGAAATGACGTTCATTCAACAGAAACCACCATTCTCTGAGGTCTGAAAACTTCACGCTCTCATTTTACGGACTGTGGCTCCCAATCGCAGATGCACATCGGTCCTCTCATTACTACCAAACCACAAGGTCTAAACAAGTCTTAAGCATATGGCCCTTAAACATCTACAGGGAAGCGCTGCTAATCAACATCTCTGAATCTTGTAAATGCTCAAAGGGCAAATCACACACTTGCTTCCTGAAGCAGAAAGCAGATGCTTCAGGTCCCCAGTGAAACGGAACGCTCCTCCCCTAGCCACGAGAAAGCTACCAAGTTGCAGCGCCTTCACTTCATTTTTTAAAAGATGAATAATTAACTCGACACACGTGTTCTTCCTTCCACTCTTACATATATTTGAAATCGCCCCATTTTCTTCTTCAAGTTAGAGAAACCCATAATAAATACGCTCACTTGACGGGCATTAGGACTCATTTTGAGAACTGAGTCTTAGAAGCCAGGCAGGGAGAGGTGAGCGAGCAGTCTTTGGTTGAGTTTCCTTTCTAATTCCTGCACCGCAAGGCAACCAGGCATTTCCTGTTTTCACACAATAAAAGCATCGTACAATGACGAAAAGTAATGCAAGGCGCAAGAATAAAGCACGATGCAGCTGCTGTGCTCCGTGTCACAAAGGCTGCTCCGGCAGCAAGAGAACTGCAGTCCCAACACCCCAAGTCTGAGCTCGCAGCTGCCTCACAGCGCATCCGGCCCCGGGTCCCAAAGCCAATGGACTCCGGACCCGGCGGCGGCAAGGCAACCCGAGGGCCGGCGGCGAGCAAGCACTGAGCGCCCCTCTCGCAGGGCCAGGCCGGGGAGAAAGTGAGGGGAGGCCGCGGGAGCGCGGGGAGGACGCGCGGCGGTTCCCGCAGAGGGTGGGGGGCGGAAAGGAGCGATCTGGCCAAGGCGCTGAGGCGCCGGCTGCACCTCAGGCCGAGGGTGGTGACAAGGGGGTCGAGGAATTAATGACCCACGGGAGGGGAGGGGGCTCCAGCCGCAGAAGAAAGAGCGCGAGCTGAACGCGAGGTGCGCGTGGCCGGGGCGGGGAGCAGGGCGCGCGGGTCACCTGTATTGTTTGAAAAGCTGGTCCGACTCCCTGAAGCCGTTGTTGAGCAGCATGTTGATGCCGGCCAGGGCCAGCTCCGCGTCCTGCAGGGGCGCCGCCGCCGCGGCCGAGGCCCCGTCGTCCTGTCGCCGCGGCCGCTGCTGCTCCGAACCGGCCATGGGCGCGCGAGACTCTGCGCAGGGCCGAGGCGAGGTCGGTGTGGCTGCTGCGGCCCCGCGCGCGCCCGGAGCCCGGCTCTACCTGCCCCGAGTGGCGCGCGGCGGGCGAGGGCGGGGCGCGGCGGGGGAGCCGCGACCGGGCTGCAGCGCGGCGGGGACGTGGGCGCCCGGGCTGCCGCCTCCCTCCCGCGGGGATTACTCAGCAGGCGACCGCCCGCTCGCCCCCTCCGAGGCGCCCGGTCGGCGCGGACTCGGCGGCGGAATCCGTTTCCGGGTGTCTGTAGCCTCGCGGAGATGAGGCCCGAGCAGCCCCGCGGCCCGACCCCGGCCCGGGACCCCACCCCGCGCCCCCCAGCAGCCCCGGGCGCCAGCGCGCCGAGCCTGCTCGGACACACGAGGCTCCCAGGCCCGGGCCTTGACCTCCACTCCTGCAAAACGCGGGACCCGGGTGTCGCGAGGAAGCCGGGGAGCGCCGCGGCAGGCGGGGCGCGAGAGGGCAAGCGGGGTGTAAAAGGGCCGGGGATCTCCGCCGGGGTCGCAGCGAGAGCGCGCGACTGGGGACCCCCTGCGCACCTCGCGCGCGGCGCCTCAGCCGCCACGAGGGCCTGAGACCCCCAGCAGCCAGCGCCCGGGACCCCCAACTTCATCCGCATCTGGGGCCTCCCACCAGCCGAGGCAGCCAATCCCCGAGGAGATGGGCGGCGGGGGCGGGATCCTCGGGGACCTGCGGGACCCCTGTCCTGAGCCCGGCGTTGAGGAACTGGCTCCACGTAGGAACACTCCCGGCCGCTAGGGACGTTTGCGCGCTGGGGCAAGAGAGCACAAGGAGGCCCATGTTGGCATACAAAGATTACCAATTAAGATGTAAAGTGTATCCTGTTCTCAACCTGACAACAATTACAGTTTTATAGCCAACGAAGGGGAAAAATAAGTTTAAAGCTATGGTTTATTATGTGACCGATATCAGCAAAATGTCAAGAATGACAATTTAGTCATTTTTACATGTCTAACTGTTCTGATGATGGGCTGGTGATGCCTGGATGGGTAATAATACGGAGACAAAATTCCTAAATCATTTTTATGTTTTTCTATAAATTAATTTTTCTCACCTTGTATTTTAGCAAAAACACTGAATATGTGGTTACAACCAAAATTATGTTGTTAATGCCAAATTAGACCACCTTGCTTAGGTCACTAGTTCTCAGAGTGTAGTTTAGTAATTTTAATTTGGAGAAATTGAATTACTCAGGTGAAGCATTTACAACTGAAATCGTTTTCAAAAATTAAAGCGATATTCAGGTTTAAAGATAACCCATGCATTTTAAATATCATGTCCATCATTATAATGGGGTCAATATAATAAATTATAACAGAAAATATTACAAAATAATTTGATTTCATCATATAAGTCATCACTTATGTTGTGATTTGTATCATGCCTTACAAGAACCTCTAAATCCATACA